GAGAAAGATCAGACTGATTGTGATGTTTTTTCATGAGACTCTGTTTCCTGCTGCCTGCAGCTGCAACACATCAGAAATCATCCTGATAATATTTATCAGAACTGATTTTACTGTGAACAGTTTAAAATCTGCTGTCTGGATGACCTCACACCAACTCTGAGAAGATTATCAGCTATAAGAACGGTAGAACAGGCTGCAGAGCACAAAGACACACAGCTGCAGGAAATGAAGTGTGATTGGCTGTGTGTCAGCACTTTGTTCTCTGCTAATAACCGCACAACACATTCACATCATCACCCCCGCTTTTAGCTTCAGTCTGCCAGTCCACAATGCCCCAGTCTGAGTCTAGTTAATTTAACTTGATCCTGTCAGCAGGAGGCTAAAACAGCCTCTACTCTCTTCTTCTCTCTCGCTGCCACTGTTGATCAATTATTTTTTTAAATACTGATATATTCAAACTTTCCTAAAGGAATGTATCTATCTATTTCATTTCTAATAAGAGATTCTTTGCTCAGTTTATCTGACATTACCCGATTTATCGAGTGAACAGGAATCCAAGAGTAGAAGACACTACACCCATCAAGCTCAATATGATATAAACTACACATGATATAAACTACACATGATATAAACTACACATGATATAAACTACACATGATATAAACTACACAACATTTTCACCATAAGATCAGGACAGACTCCTCTCAGTGCTTGTAAAGCAGCAGCTGAATCAGAAGAAATGACTCAACAAAGGTTTGTTTTCTTCTACTCACTCTGATGCCCACCAGACAGCAGATAATCTGTGATGTGAAGACTTTGTTTGATCTGATGACTCATAACATAAACCCNTGTTGCCTTTGTTCCAGCTTCCCAAATATAATTAAAGAGAACACAGATCTCATCTAAAACATCATCAAGGTTTCTAACTTATTCTGTCTTGTCCTGGTGAAGTGTTTGCTCCTGCCTGTACTGCATCTTTTAGTTCTGTAAGTGAAAAACATTGATTCAAATCTTTATTGTTTCTGCACTACTTGTCTCCGCATCATTTCACCGCCGGCTCACGAAGCAGCGTTCGGGCCGGGCGGAGTTTACTGATGACCAATAAAGTGAGCAGGTTTTTTCTATGTGGTCTAAATAAATGAATGAGTTCAGTCGGCTGAATATAAATCCTGCAGGTGAKGTGAGGTGTGCCCATGTGCAGRTAATTTTAGTCCATTATGTTTATTTTCCAGAACATGCTGTGAAWACATCCATCTGCAGATTACCATATAACTCAGATAATCCAGSAAGAAAACTTTTATCATTCAAAACATTAAAATATGAAGCAAAGACAGGTCCACTGCTTCTGTCCMACATGTCCATKTAACGGGGACAGGTTGGACAGTAAAGAAATGAAGAAGTGGGACAAACAGCTGATTTAGCTTCAGTTATTTATTCTGATGGATGGAGCAACACTGCCCTCTGCTGTCTGATCRCTGTTACAGGTCCTCACATTATTATTACAGCGTACTGTCAGGTACTTCTTATAAAATACTCAAACTGATTCAACATTTTGTTCAATTATACAATAAAAATAAATAAAAATAAATAAATAAACAGCTCTGTTCGAACTCTGACATGGACTTAAAGTGTCTGTGACATCAGGTTTTTGTAATAAATATGAATGCATTTTTTGGAAAGACAACATTGATAACATATTACAAAACAAATTTATGCCACTCAGATGCACAGTTGTTGAGATATTTGCATGTGAAGTAACAGGAAGTGATGTTGAAGGAGAACGTCTGCGTGTGAACAGAGCGTTGATAAGATGGCTGACACAGACTGTGGAGAAGAACCTGATGTTTCTTATTTTAAGTG